TTTTTGCGGCACGCGGGCCTCTCACTGCTGTGGCCTCTCCCGTTGCGGAGCACAGGCTCTGGACGGGCAGGCTCAGTGGCCATGGCTCATGGGCCCAGCCGCTCCGCAGCATGTGGGATTTTCCCGGACCGAGGCAAGAACCCGCGTCCCCTGCATCGGCAGGCGGACTCTCAACCACTGCGCCACCAGGGAAGCCCTAGCACACAGTTTTGAGTACTTACAATGTGGCCAGCACTCTGTTAAGTTCATGTAAGATCTCATTTAATTTTCTCAACCCTACGAGTTGGGTCTTATTTTATTCCACTGAGGCTAAAAAAGGTTAAGAACCTGCTTCCCTATGAAAGCACTATTTGCCATGCTAAAAAGTTTGGACTTGGCGCTATGGGTGTTGCCGGGATATAGGAGAACATGGGGGCAGTGAATGGATGTTCTCTGTGGTGAGACATGGAGAGGAGAGGGAGCCTTCCCATTCCTGCACAGGGCCTCTGCCTCATTTTCCTCCTAAGGAGTCAGAACCAAGCTTGCTGGTAGAAGAGCAGGACCTCAGAGTGCAGGGAAGCCACTCCAGGGTATGTGTCCATGGCAGGTTTGACTGTACAACCAGGATATTTCTCCACTTTCGTACATTCAGAGACATCTTTGGGTGTGTTAGGTGCCCTGAGTACTCACACTTCTTCTGCCAGTGTTTGCTGAGCAGCAGCAGCGCTGGAAGGAGTAGGGATGGATGAGAAATAGTGCTCCCAGTAGAAAGAGAACTGTGTATGTGTGCTTCTGTCTGCTTCTTTTGGTGGGCAATATGTGGATCAACAGCCAGACAGGTGGGTGGCTTGATGGGTCTTGCCCTGGTCAGTGCATCCTGACAAGGCTACAGACATGTCTCAAACTGAAAAATGTTTTCCATCACTTGATAGTAGGTATGCATTGGCTTCTCCATCTGAGGCTTTGGAAAATACCCTGGGTCAGCTGCGAGGGAGAAAGTATTAAGGCAGAAGAGAGAAATGGGCGGCACAACCTGACTCCCCACTGCTAACCACACACCTGAGCAAAGAGCAGCTTAGCTTGCTGCCATGGCTATTTCTCGGTGATCAGGAAGAGCTAAGGGATTTAAAACACTACAATTTTCTGCTTTTTCAACCCAGTTTCTACACTTCCCAGCAGTCTAGGTTCTGGATCTGGAGACAAACTGCGTCTGATGTTCCTCTGTGTATCATGGGCAAAATCCAGGTGACACAACTCCATGACACTGCCCCAATAGGTCTTCCTGGATGCAAACCCCATCCAGATTCAAGAGAGCAAAATGTAGCCCTATGTTCTGGTGTTCAGCCCATCAAAAAGATCTTGGACTTATTCTCAGTGTAGTATCTGTTGACTGAAGGACTCTTGTTGATTCATTCATTAAAATACTGAATTCTAAGTATGGGGGCTAATATAGTGAACCAGACTCACGCTGGAGCCCACATTCCAGTGATTCATTTGGTTACTGTGTGCCGTATCCATCCTGACTGAGTGATGCCAGCAGTTGCTGGGCTGCACCTGTTCCTGCTATATCAATCACAGTTGAAACCCTATGAGCCAGAGCTTTGGTATGGAAGACAACCCCCTCAGGGAGCCTTCCTTTCCTGTGGAGCTTAGGAACAAATCTCACAGCAATTCTTTCTATTTATCTGGAGTGGGATTTTCTTTCTGGCTTGTTTATGTTTTGTGCTTTTGGTCAGGTGCTTGCAACATACACACGCTGTAGATTGTCCCCTTCTCTGTAGGATGGGCTGGCTGAAGATGGTTCTTCCCACTTCCCAGACAGGAAGACTGATAACACAAGTGGACAGTGGATATTCTTAGGAATGGATATTAGAATTGTACTTTCCTCTTTTTTTTTCATACAGACCTTCTATTCTCCCCCAAATAAGCATCCTTTCTGCTTTGATCTTTTAATTCAGTTTGAATATGTATCACAACATTTGGTATTTGCCAACTGCATTCCATTGATCCTGAAGTTCTTCAATCAAAATATCTTGTCCTACATCACTGCCAAAAACAGGTAAGAACTCTGGACAGGTTTATTTCAAAGGGATATTTGGGATGGCTGAGAAGTTACATCGTCTCAGAGCCGACTTTCTGTTCTCCTGGTGTCCCTGGTCCTTTCTATTTTAGAGCTGTCACTGTCAAATTTAATTTCCTTGAAGTGCTACTGGTGGGGTGTATGGTTTGGCCTCTTCCCAAAGGTATTTGTATTTTAATAGTTTTGAAAACTGAAAATGCCATGACTCAAAGAAATGAAACTGTAACGATGAAATTTCAGCCCTGTGGCTGAAGGATCCAGAAAATATTTTTTGTGAAGCATCCTACTTGTCTGGTCAGCCCTACTTTTAGTATAAATCACAAGTTGGATCAATCACACTACTTTGTAAAGTGTTATACAGAATTTGTAACTAAAGATAAATAATAGAACCTTACTTAGATCAATTTGTAGTTTAAAAAAATACAGGATTTTCACATCCATTATTTCATTTAATCTTCTCAGTAGTGCTAAGACGTATCACAATAAGTTTTATTCCCATTTCACCAATTAGGAAACAAATTCAGAGAGGTTAATTGACTTACTTAAGGATAACATGCTAGTGAGACCCCTTAAGTAAGCAGCAGAGGCAGGGTTAAAGCATAAATTGCTTTCTGATCACAATTGCTATGGATTGCTCCAGCCAAGTGGGGACTTGGGGGGTTAACAGAGTAGATCCTTGTTCCTCAGTTTGCTACTTACACAAAAACTAGAAGCATGATAATCAGTAGAGTTGACCAGAAGTGCTTTACCAGAGGCAAAGTTCGTAAAGTAGAAGAAGGCTGACCTGACACTTGAGGTGACTGGAGAGGGGCTAGGAGATACTGCCCCACCAGTCTGTCAGCATGGCCAGAAACTCCACCCTGGAGAGGCAGCCTACTTATATGTAGTTTAAAACACACAAACAGAACCTGAAGTCATGGGACCTGGATTCCTGACCTGGATCTGCCACTTGCTAGCTGTGTCATCTCAAGTGTAAGATACTTTGTTTCTCTGAGACACAGTATTTTCATCTTTAAAATGAGAATAATACCTACTCTGACTATATCATAGAGCTTTTATAAGCATTAGTTAAGATAAACATAGATGAGAGTGCTTTACTTTTCCTGTTTGGAGGAAGCCTTGGAGAATGGGTTTTTCCTAACTGCAGAGAGACTTGGGCACCACCCCCCTTAAAAATAGCACTTACGGGAATTCCCTGGCCAGTGGTTAGGACTCTGCACTTACACTCCGAGGGCCTGGGTTTGATCCCTGGTCAGGGAACTAAGATCCCACAAGCCGCGTGGCACGGCCAAAAAAAAAAAGACACTGAAGACATACTAGTTGGGTTACCGGGGAAAATGAAAGTGTAGGTTGGGCTGGGTAAGGGTCACAGCTTCATGAAGGTACCTGTGTGTATCAGTCAACCCTCTTAGTGATAAGGAACCAAAAAGAGCTGGACCTGGCTCACACAGAATGGGCATTTGTTAGCAGAAAATGGGCAGTGTATCATCTCGAGGAACCTAGGACAGAGATGCAGCTCTGGACCTCAGGGTTGGTCTGTATCATAAGGAGCCCAGGAAGCTCTCCACCTCCATCTATGGCCACCAAGCCTCTGTACCTCCACTCCAGTTTTTCCTCTCTCATTGACAAATAGTTTTGTCTGCTTCCTAGGCCACTTAGTGAAATATGCCCACATGAACTAAACATATTCCTGTGCCACTTCAGAGATTGAATTGGCTCTCAATCCCTGTTCCACATTCCCAGGGTTAGAGGCCCACCCTTGGATCAATCACCTGTGACTGGGGAGTGGGGTTCAGGAACTAAATGCCCCCTGTACCATGGGCCTAGAAGCAGGGGGCAGACAATCCAATAGGTGTCCATCAGGTTCAATTTGGAGTTGGAAGAGTGGTAGTGCCAGACTGCACCGTTTGCTAAGCTTGGCCTGGCTACAGTGGTCCTCTCATGCGTTACCTGTAAGCTTTACTGTTGCATGATCTTGAGAACTTGAGCACCTACAGCTCATTATTGCAGTTTCCTCATGGCTCTTACAATCTAGATATCCTAGAAACTTGTAACTTTATTTTATGCCCCCTTAGGCTAGAATTCAGTACAATGAGATTGGAACAAATCCATCCTTGATTTCCCACCCTCATTTCCTGGTTGCCAGTACCTACTTTGCCATGGGACTTTGTCAGTGGGAGGTGGGTAGATAAGTAGATGAGCCAGCTAAGAATGTTTATCCTAATGGAGTAGTGCAGAGCCCTGGGAGAATCCAGTAGGTAGGTCCACCACCCTCCCCTCTCCTGCCTTGGTTCCCTTAGGTTACCTTTGTGGGTTTCTTGGACAAAGGTCAACATTTCTAGTCAAATAAATTGTGTTTTGCTTGGATAGAAGTTTTGACTTTGAAATGTAGAGACAAGTTGAAGGAACCCCATATTCCTCTTTATAGCCTATGCTTTGCCAACATCCTTTACCCATTTCCAACTACTCTAGTTCGGATGGATTGGTATTTAAAACCTTATGGAATGTTGGAACCAGAAGGAGCATTAGCGATTAGCTAGTCTAAATTCTTCATTGTACCAGTGAGGAAGGGAGAAAAGGAAAGAAAGAGAGCCATCATTTCGAGTGACTGTGTCCCTGTCGTCATGTGGTGCTTTATTTCCCCTGCTGACTCATGCTTGCTTCCCTGGGCTCACCGCAGAGCCTCTAGCTCCCTTGCAGTTCCCCACTGTCTGTTTTGGGGGCAGATGCTATTACCACTCTTGAGCTGCTAGATTGGCCCTGCTGCAGGAAGCTGCCTCTGTCTCAAGCTTCCTCTAGGAGTGGCTTCTGTGATCATTCCCCAGAGCTCCTGAGTTTCAGGAACATTTGGTAAGAGACACAGGAGAGGTCTTCATTTCATTCTCACTTCCACAGGTTGTTATTATTGGGATGAGTTTGGGCAGCATCTCTGCGAGCACAATTTTATGTACACACATACACACAGCATACACTTAAATGCAGAAACACAAATGCACACAAGCTTATGTATTCCTTTAAAGAAGGGAGGAGAAAGGTGGCTATACAGAGGCTCTCCTTCTGCTTTCTCTTGCCTCTGCCAGATAGGGGCCAGCCTGAAAGAATTCTGTTGGTTCCTCTCATGGCTATGAGGAGAGGAGACTGGATCTGGAGTTGCCTGGCACCAGAGCCCTCAGTTTCAGCTGAAATCACTAAGCAGTTTTGGAAATAGATGAGGCCTGCTGAAGAGAAATACCTCCTGCCCTTTCAGATATAGCCATTTGCTGCCATTGCCATTTACCTAAAGCCTGTCCTTATCTCTGCATCTTGCAGTATCTCGGTCCTGGATTACCCATGCTGTACCATCCAGGATTTGCCAGAGCTTACTACGGAGAGTCTGGTAAGCAAGTGGGGATTTGATACCCTTTGAAATTACCAGGTGGCAGAGGTTGGCATTTGCTCTTCCTTTTCTTCTCTAGCTCCCTAATGCCCTGGTTTGGGAGTCTCAGATCAGTAGAGGCATACTGGCAAGAGCACAGAGGTAGTAGGGGTTTAGAGCTGCTGACCCGGTTGAGAAAGATTTGGAAAAGCTGAGCATAGCATTTTTTAGAGAAAAGGGTCAGTGAAAAACACTGAGGAGAGGAAATTTAGAAAGATAATGGGACTGAAATTGAGTGTGAACATCTGTGATAAATGGCAGGAGAATCTCTTCTGGTCTAGCCTAAATCAATTATCTGTCTTCTTTCTGCTGTGCTACAGAAAATACCCAGGGGTGTGTACTTCAGAAAATACCTTACCTAGGTCTCTCTGAGGCAAAATTCAATATGGCCATAGAAGGATGACCCAGAAAGTTCCTCATGCTGGAAACACCTCTAGGCAAATCATAGAAGTCCCTCAGTTATTCTGAATCCCATGAAACTGACTGATGAACAGCATGTTGAAATCAAATATCTATCTCATCTCTACAGCTCTTTAGATATAGCTCAGCCCATACCTTCACCCTGTTGCACTGTAATTGTTTATATGTATCTGTTTCTCCATTGTACTGAAAACTCCCTAAAGGAAGAGATAGTATCATCTTCATTTTATATCCTCAGTGTCTAGCACCATGTTCAGTACACGGAAGGACCTTAATAAATGATCAGATGATGGCACCCGTGTGTGCCCCAACCCCTTGTCCCCCAACTTTAATACCTGCAGGATGTCACATCAGAGAAGTGTATTGTGCAAAAGTAGAATGGTACCTTCTGTGGCACAAGTTTTACAGAACCATAGGATTCTTGGCTGGAGGGGACCTGAGAGCCATTTGGCCAAAGACTCTGAATTAGAGAAGGACCCATGTCTTGAGACACTAAGTCTAGCACCTTTTTAAGCACCGGGGCAGAGATTCCCTGTCTTACTTAGATGTGGTCTCAGCAGCCAAGGAAGCTGGGAGCTTCTTACCTCTGCAGAGAGAGGTAATAAGTTGTCTGACCCTGTTTATGATGTTTCTCAATCTTTAAAACAACTGTATGAGGTTGGTATTAGTGTTTTATAGATGGAGAAGTTAAATAGCTGCCAAAACTTTATAGTTGAAAGTAGCAGAGCCAGGGTGGAGACATGCAGCCCTGTCATTCAGAGTTGGAATGAGGAATGTACTTTCTCACACAAACAGTGGTACAGGGATAGCATTAAAGCTCTACTATTAGTAGGGTACTTCAAAACATAAAGTCGGGCTTCCCTGGTGGCGCAGTGGTTGAGCGTCTGCCTGTCGATGCAGGGGACACAGGTTCGTGCCCCGGTCCAGGAAGATCTCACATGCCGCGGAGCGGCTGGGCCCGTGAGGCATGGCCGCTGAGCCTGCGCATCTGGAGCCTGTGCTCCGCAATGGGAGAGGCCTCAACAGTGAGAGGCCTGCGTACCGCAAAAAAAACAAAAAAACATAAAGTCAGCTTTTATGACCTGAATCAATTTCTTGATACAGTGTGTTCTCTTTTCTCAATCCCATAAGTAGGAATTGATGGGAACTAAACTTTCTTATCTCTTCTGATTAACTTTTGGGGATATGAACAGAAAATTATTGAAATACTTGTTATGCCTCTGAGAAGACTTTATTGTTATCTAAGAGTAGGTAAAAGCATGTATCTATTTTCGGGCTTCCCTGGTGGCGCAGTGGTTGAGAGTCTGCCTGCCAATGCAGGGGACACGGGTTCGAGCCCTGGTCTGGGAAGATCCCACATGCCGCGGAGCAACTAGGCCCGTGAGCCACAACTACTGAGCCTGCGCATCTGGAGCTTGTGCTCTGCAACAAGAGAGGCTGCGACAGTGAGAGGCCCGTGCACCGCGATGAAGAGTGGCCCCCGCTTGCCGCAGCTAGAGAAAGCCCATGCACAGAAACGAAGACACAGCACAGCCAAAAATAAATAAATAAATAAATAAATAAATAAATAAATGAAATTAAAAAAAAAAAGCATGTATCTATTCTTAATGAAAAACAGATTCATGCTAGGGATTCCTGTCCTTTCTGTGAAGCAACAGTGGCGCCTGGTGGTTTCATTTGGTAGCCACAGATTTTTTTATATTTTACTTGAACTTAGAAGTATTTCCCTGAGCTCAGTCATGGACTTAACTAGCAAGTTTACTCCACATAGATCCTCAGTATAGTGGTTTGTTTATCTAAACTGATGGCTTCTGCACTCAGAAAGGACTAGTGTTTATATGAGTAAGATTTATGTCTTTTTCAGGCCCAGTGAATTAATTGTAAGCACAGAAAATGTACTGGCATTTTAAGTGTATAGGATTTTCTTTAAGTAACATTTCAATTTCTTTTTCTGACTTTAAAATTGATATATACTATTGCAGAAAATTGGGGAAATACAGAAACATACAGGAAAGAAAATAAACCACTGTTAATATTTTGCTACAGTTAACCATATATATTCATATATTTACTCATATATACACACACACATATTATTTAAGAAAATAAGGACTTTAAATATGTTTCAATTCACATAGTAAAATTTAAATGTTCACAATATGATTTTATTAAACATTCTTAGAACATGATGTTTAATAGCTACATATAATATTACACTACTTAATTTTTTAAAAATTATTGTTTTCTACTATTGTTGGGCATTTACTTCAGTGTTCTTTGTATAAATCCAAAATGAACATCCTTACACTTGAATCTTTGACCTCATCTCTGATTATTTCCTTAAGATAGATTCCTAGAAGTGGAATTACTTGGCTAAGGTAGTCTTGATTCATATTTTCTCAGTTTTCCGTATTTGAACTGAGTTCAACTTCATTTGGAATTCCAACTACACATATAATGGACATGAAATAAAGGCAGAGTTAATGGCACATTAATTTCTACGGTCTTCTCATCATGTCAAAATATCTAGCTCTACAATAGGCCATCTTTACTCATGTACTGAAGAGTTTCCTCACCTCCCTGGTGCAGGAAGGCTTACAATTTCTAGATCTCCAAAAGTCTGCATTCAAATTCAATCCACTAAACTAGGAAAAAATTAAAATTAAATTCCAAACATAAGAGAAGGATGGTGAATGTATGATTGTGTGGAAGTTAGGTATGGTCTTTAGAAGGAGGTTGCTAGAGAAGGCAGTGGGTATGACCTCAAGTACTGTAGGATGCTCAGCATCTGGGTGGTTGTTTAGAGCAATGGTATGAAAAATAGGGTGTGCAACATGATGCTTTAGGGGTGGGATATATTCGATCTTTTGTATGTATTAATATCCTTTTTTACTTTATATGTAATTTATAACATATCATGTTATTACAACAATGCATTTATAATTTCTAACTAAATATACATTGTATTTTGGAGTCATTGAGTATCAGACCTAGAAGTTTCTTAGTATCTTGCCCAGTCTTACCCTCTACTGATATGGAAGCAGGTGGAGTGGTGAAGTGTTGTCCAAAGCAGAGGGTAAGAATTTGCGTGACCTAGCCATTTGCAAAGAAATATTTGTCATTTCCTTTCAGATTTAGGCAAGTGAAATTATTAAGTTAATTCTTAAGTGGTAGTTCATTTCAAAATTCTTCAAATTTGGGTATGATTTATATTCAGAAATACCTATAAAAATATGTTCATATCACTTAAATTTATATACCTGATCCTTTCATCTATCTTTATTAGTTTTTATAACTTCCTAATCCAGATATTTACAGATATTCTAGAAGATTTTTGTTATTGTTTTGATTTTTGTTTTCTTTATGTTCAGGTATTAAGGTCTCTAACATTCCTTTTAGGCATTATGTAACCACTGATTTGTGACCTCCTTAAATAAAAGTCTTTGTTTTGGCATTCACTATCACTGTTTAAAACCAATATCACCATTAGCATTATTGTTTCTCTATCCTAGACAAAATGTGAACATATCATAAGGTATATATCCATTTTCCATGAGGTATTTATACAGAGGAAGGACCATGGCTAAATGGTTGTTTTGCATTTTATCGATTTTCCTCGTTGTCACCCTTTCTGTAATGGGGTGATTTTTTAAACTCACATGCCCAGGTCCCTCCCAGGGCACAAATAGTTTGCTAAAGCTCCCCAAATGACTCTGAAATTTTCTTTTCTCCTTCCTCCATACCTCCTCACATCACTTTTGAGAATCATAACTCTTATGATACCTAGATCTGGGTCCTTAACCTAGCAGTAACTTAATCAGAAGATGAACAGTAAATAAAGACAAAGTGTTAGAATTCAGTAAATACTGGAAATCTAGGTTCAAGCCCTGGTTGGGGCACTTACCTTGTGACCTTGGCCAGACCACCTTCCTCTTTCTGGGCCTCAGGTTTTGCTTCTATGGATAACAGAATTGGACTAGAACAGCTAAGTCTCTTCCAGTACTCAGATTCTAACCAATCTGATTTCCTCAGTACAAAACGAAGAAGCACTCTGTTCTTCCTTTCCACAGTCATCTGAGTTAATTATCCACTTAATGGTCTTAAGCCTGTTTTTTTTTAATGTATTTTCTTTTTCTTTAACATTTTAACTTTATTTATTTATTTGGCTGTGTCGGGTATTAGCTGCGGCACGCAGGATCTTCGTTGAGGCATGTGGAATCCTTCGTTGTGGCGCGTGGGTTCTTCGTTGCGGTGCATGGGCTTCTCTCTAGTTGTGGTGTGTGGGTTTTCTCTTCTCTAGTTGTGGCACGCAGGCTCCAGAGCACATGGGCTCTGTTTGCGGAACGCAGGCTCTCTAATTGAGGCGCCAGAGCTCAGTAGTTGTGGTGCGCGGGCTTAGTTGCCCTGCAGCATCTGGGGTCTTAGTTCCCTGATCAGAGATCGAACCCGCGTCCCCTGCATTGGAAGGCGGATTCTTTACCACTGGACCAACAGGGAAGTCCAGAGCATGGGTTTTTATTTGGCTTGGCTCACTCAGCTGAGCTATGGATGGATCTTTGAGAACAGAACCCTTGTAGGGCCTTAGAAATGCTCTGAAAGTGTAGGATGTGGTTGCTAAACTGAATCTTCAGACCAAGTGTGTATGCAAACAAATATTTATTTGTGAGAGTGGAACATGGGCAATTCTTTTTTCATTTTAGCTGGTTGAAAGTGAGTAAAGGTCTTGCTTTGGATACTGCTAAGTACCAGGAACAAGAGAATATAGCCAAGTGCTGCTATTCACAAAATATATCCCCATGAAGAAGTTTGCATCTTAATATGCTGAGTCCTGAAAAAAAAAAAAAAAAAAAAGAGGAAGGAAGAAGGTAACCTGCTTTATTTAGTTAGTTTTATAAATTTATTTATTTGGTTTTGGTTGCTTTGGGTCTTCGTTGCTGCACACAGGCTTTCTTTAGTTGCTGTGAGCAGGCGCTACTCTTCATTGTGATGTGCGGGCTTCTCATTGTGGTGGCTTCTCTTATTGTGGAGCATGGGCTCTAGGTGCACGGGCTTCAATAGTTTTGGAACGCGGGCTCTAGAGCACAGGCTCAGTAGCTGTGGCGCACGGGCTTAGCTGCTCCGTGGCATGTGGGATCTTCCCGGACCAGGGCTCAGAACCCATATCCCCTGCACTGGCAGGCAGATTCTTAACCACTGCGCCACCGGGGAAGCCCAAACCTGCTTTAAATGAACATAAAAAGAAAAAACTCTCAAGACAGGCAATTCTGAAAGGGAACCCATGGACCTAAAGGCTTTCTGGGAAAAAGATTATTTGTTGGGTTGGAAGAAGGGAGAAGACTTGAGCAGGGCTCCAGCAAAGAAGACAACAAGCCTGGACTCAGCTCTCCAGGGAGAGCCACTGACCAGCATGTGTGCTTTCAGTGCCCACTCGAGGCAGCATCTGGTGATGCAAGAAGTGGGGCTAGTTATAGACATCAGGGAAGCATTATCAGAGGGAAGGGCCCTGGGCAGGTGAGACTACCTTCAGGAGAGGACTGGGGCAGCTCTTGGGACTCTTGAGACTCAGCTCTGAGAAAAAGGCAGCTACAATCAGCATTCTCTCCCTCAAAACTTTAACTTTTAAGCCAACTGGAGAAAGTAAGCCACAGAATTATTGAATGATCAGAGATAAAAGGATCTTAAAGGTTATCTTAGTTCAGCCTCTTACAGGAAACAGGGGAATTACTTGCCTAAGGTGGTACAGCCAGGGCTGAAGCCATAACCCGGGTGTCCTGGTGCCTACTCCAGTGCCACTTCTCGAAGACCATGCTGCTACTCCCATATCCCACAAGAGATGCAAGTCTTTTTATGCGGCTACTGTATTAGAAGTCAGGATGAAGAAAGCTCACAGCTGAAATATACTTACTTCTCTCTTATGTTTTTGTTTCCCCTGCTTCTTTTTAAAACATAAACATTTAGAAGTCTGTCTCCTCTGTTAGCCACACAAAATGTAGCATCTATAAAACCTGATCTGTTTTGCACTAGAGTGGAGGCTCCCATGGAAGTCTCTCTTAGAACAAAACAGATAGCGGGCTTCCCTGGTGGCGCAGTGGTTGAGAGTCCGCCTGCCGATGCAGGGGACGCGGGTTCGTGCCCCGGTCCGGGAAGATCCCACATGCCGCGGAGCGGCTGGGCCCGGGGGCCTTGGCTGCTGGGCCTGCGCGTCCGGAGCCTGTGCTCTGCAACGGGAGAGGCCACAGCAGTGAGAGGCCCGCGTACCAAAAAAAAAAACAAAGAAGAAGAAACAGCTTTCCTGGGACTAGTTCTAAACACAATATTGAACATTTACTAGAGGAAGAAGAACATTATTATTATTATTTTTGGCCGTGCCGCGTGGCTTGTGAAATCTTAGTTCCCTGACCAGGGATCGAACCTGGGCCTCTGCAGTGAAAGTGCTGAGTCCTAAGTGCTGGACCACCAGGGAATTCGCAGGAGAACATTATTTCTAAACAATATATCTGAAAAGTTTCCCTGCCCCTCTTTGATCCTCAGTCTTATTTCTTTCTTAGGAGAGCCTAATATTCTCAAAAGTCTTGGCTGTTCATTCCACAGTTGATGTATGTCTGCCTTGCTTGCTTCAAATTAATTTGGGAGAGGAGGGGGTAATCTTCCACTCACCAGAAAGCAGTTCACTTCTGCACATCTCCCACTCCTACATTCTCTCACATTGTAGATGTGAGAAATTTCCAAGATGTTGGTTTGACCACCAAGTGTGTTAATTGATTTATATAGCTTCTTACACCAGTATATAGGTGCAAGCCCCAAAGCCCAGACTCTTATTTTTGTCCCTGAAAGATGTTTCTATGAGTAGTTACCTGTTTCTGATCTGACATCCATCTGTTATCTCTGGTTGGGTGCTCACAAGCTATCAAGAGACATTCAAGAGAAACACCTGGTTCCAATAAGCCATCTGCCGTTTTTCCTTCCATGCTAGAGAATTAAGCCATTTACTGCAATATGGTTTGATAAAGGAGGGTGGAGGTTGATTTTTTAAAGAATTCATTGTAATGAATATCAGATCCATACAATATATAGGATTGGCCAAAAAGTTTGTTCGGGTTTTTCTGTAACTTACAAAACCCAGAGGAACTTTTTGGCCAACCCAATAGTTTGAAATCTACCAGAATAACTCTTAGCAATTATAAACATAGCTTACTTAAGTGCAGAGTATATGGGGGCAAAATTCTATCATCTCTTTTCTGATGTTAAAGCAGAAAGCTACACAAGAAAGCTTGCTTAAATTCAGTTTCTATGTTCATGTACCATCTTTCTAGCCAGTACTTGCTCTAGGTACAGAGCCTTCCAGGATTGGCAGGTAGCATTTCATATGGAAGGCCTCACCTAAACTGACCAACAGTGACTTCCATACTTTTGTGGGAAGGAATGCCTTATAGGTGTTGAGATAATGATGAGCATGCCTTATTACAGGAAGCTGGAGACAACAACCAGTTCTGCTGGAGGAACCTCTTTTCCTGCATCAACCTTCTGAGGCTGCTCAATAAACTGACCAAATGGAAGCATTCCAGAACCATGGTGAGTGGAGCTTCAGATCATGGTGTCCACCTAATTGGGTTTTTTTTATCTTTAGTAAATATGGACTTCTTGCTTTGCGAGCTTTATAGATAGACATTGAACGCTCCATAAGACTTAGCACCTCCTAATTCTGGGTACTTACTCTATGATAATTATTTACCGGTCCATTTCTTTTCAGGGAGCTGAATATGGACCCTCCCTCAGGGCAGCTCTGGTAGGGAAGTTAGCATTGTATTTTGGGTTATAGTCAAGCATCTCAAATGATACAAGTCTAAGATTATTCACTGCAGCAGTTTTTCTAATCGTGAAAGATTGGAAAAAACGTAAATGCTCATTAGTACCAACTGGTTAAATTATTTATGTACATCCTTATAATAGAATATTAATACAATCATTAAAAAGAATGTGATGGTTCTGTACTGCTGTGGAATAATTTTCAAATATATTATTAAATAAAAATCAAGGACCTGCTGTATAAAAAAATATAAAAAAATAAAAATAAATAAAATTCAAAAAAAATCAAGGTATGAAACAACGTGAAAGGGTATGTAGTTGCTATCATTTTTGTTAATAAAAGTAACATACACATACATAGAATTATCTCCAGAGGATACACAGGAAACTGGTAACAGTGGAAAGAGGATGTGTGGTTGACAAAATTTTTTTGCACTTTGAATATTAGAAATTTTTAATTGTGAAATATAAATGGAGTGCTTCCTCTGTTCTTAAAGACTAAGTCTAAGTGGAGCTTGGACCATAGATATTCCAAAGCTCTCCAGGGTAGTCTGAGGTTAGCCAGGTTTGGCTTAATTTTTCTGTGAGTTGGAAATTCCAAGAAAGTTTAGATCCTTATCTTTCTTCATTCTTATCCCTCTTTAAATGGGCAGATGCTGGTAGTGTTTAAATCTGCTCCAATCTTAAAGCGGGCCCTCAAGGTCAAACAGGCCATGCTGCAACTTTATGTGCTGAAGCTGCTAAAAATACAGACCAAGTACCTCGGGCGCCAATGGAGGAAAAGCAACATGAAAACCATGTCAGCCATTTATCAGAAAGTACGCCACCGCATGAATGATGACTGGGCTTATGGGAATGGTGAGTATTCTCAGAGCTTTTGACCTCTGGGAGTTGCCCAGGATTGAAACAAAACTAAACAAGCATCTCTACTCTTTTGGTATGAATTGTTACATATTTTAGATGAGAAAATATATGATTATAGTCAGGTGCTGTTATAACAAATGTTAAGGCGCTGCCTCAAATTCCAGCACGTACCCTGTCCCATGTAAACTATGAAAATCCATTTTATAGAACAAGTCAATTGAGGGATAATTACCCCTTTTCAAAACATTCCTTTAAGTGACAGGTTTCTCTGAGAGATTTTTTTTTTAACATCTTTATTAGAGTACAATTGCTTTACAATGGTGTGTTCGTTTCTGCTGTATAACAAAGTGAATCAGCTATATGTATACATCCCCATATCCCCTCCCTCTTGCGTCTCCCTCCCACCCTCCCTATCCCACCCCTCTAGGTGGACACAAAGCATAGAGCTGATCTCCCTGTGCTATGCAGTTGCTTACCACTAACTATTTTACATTTGGTAGTGCATATATGTCCATGTCACTCTCTCACTTCGTCCCAGCTTACCCTTCCCCCGCCCCATGTCCTCAAGGCCATTCTCTACATCTGCGTATTTATTCCTATCCTGCCCCTAGGTTCTTCAGAACCATTTTTTTTCTTTAGATTCCATATATATGTGTTAGCATACGGTATTTGTTTTTCTCTTTCTGACTTATTTCACTGTGTATGACAGTCTCTCTGAGAGATTTTTAAAAATAAAATAACCTTTTATTATTACAAAGCAGTTAGAAAATACAATGAAGCAAACATTTTACAATATTACCATATTTATGCCATATTTGAACCGTCCAAAGATTGCCACCAGAATCTTATTGTATGTTCATACAGATTTTTTCCTCTACATATACATATTTTATTTATTTATTTATTTATTATGATTATTAGTTTTGGTTGCATTGGGTCTTCATGCTGCACACGGGCTTTCTCTAGTTGTGGCAAGTGGGGGCTACTCTTCGTTGTGGTGTGTGGGCTTCTCACTGTGGTGGCTTCTCTTGTTGTGGAGCACGGGCTATAGGCACGTGGGCTTCAGTAGTTGTGGCACGTGGGCTCAGTAGTTGTGGTTCACAGGCTCTAGAGCACAGGCTCAATAGTTGTGGCACATGGGCTTAGTTCCTCTGTGGCATGTTGGATCTTCCCAGATCAGGGCTCGAACCTGTGTCCCCTGCATTGGCAGACAGATTCTTAACCACTGTGCCACCAGGGAAGCCCTACATTTTATTTAAGTGAAAGCAAATTGTGTATGCTATTTTGTAATCTTCTCTTTTTAAAATTAATTTTAATTGGAGTATAGTTGCTTTACAGTGTTGTGTATAATCTTCTCTTTTTAGTTAACGTTATTTCTACCTTTCTTTATCAGTACATTTTCATTTTATCTAATAATCAAGTCCATGTTCAGAATTTCCCAGTTGCCCCAAAATATTCTTTAAAGCTATTCTTTTCCAAGTCATAATCCAACCCAGGACCGCAAATTTCATCTGATTGTTATATACTTTTATTTGTTTTGAATCTAGCAGTATTCTTTCCCCCCCCATAACACTGACATAATTGAAGAACTAGGCCAGTTGTTCTGCAGAATATCCACCTTCTGGATTTGTCTGCTTGCTTCTTTTTTTTTTTTTTTTTTTTGGCTGCATTGGGTCTTTGTTGCTGTGCGCGGGCTTGCTCTAGTTGCGGCTAGCGGGGGCTCCTCTTCGTTGCGTTGTGTGGGCTTCTCATTGTAGTGGCTTCTCTTGTTGCGGAGCATGGGCTCTAGGTGCGTGGGCTCAGTAGTTGTGGCACGTGGGCTCAGTAGTTGTGGTACATGAGCTTAGTTGCTCTGCATGTGGGATCTTCCCGGGCTAGGGCTCAAACCCGTGTCCCCTGAACTGGCAGGCAGATTCTTAACCACTGCACCACCAGGGAAGCCCCACCTCATAATCTTAACATAAGCTGCATATAGATTTTTCGTGCACTGGAGGAGGTTCCATGGAATCAGGAAAGTTCCTGCCTCTTACCATTCCTTAAAAACTGTGATTTCGTTCAAGTGGGAAACTCCTATTCCTAAGGAAAGTTCAATAAAGGGAACTGAGTTGCTGTTTTGGAAAATATAATACATATAACTAGCAAGAAAGTGAAATAACGGAAAGGAAATACAATAAAAAGAAGTCTACCTCCCTCAGGGCCCTCATTTCCTTCTCAGTGGTAATCACTGTTAACCAGTTTCTAGACTCTTCCAAAGATAGTCTCTGCATATATAAGCATATGTATGTGGACATGTGTATATTTTTTAAACCTGACTGGCAGCGTGTTATATACTTACTTTGTACATTGCTTTTTACAAAAAAAGGAAATTCTGAGCAGTTGCATTGTTGGTATCCCATAGACCATGCTCTGTGCTAAGAGGAGAAGTGTGCTGAGGTGTATACATCTTTTTCTTTCTAATCTTCCCAACACAGACATCGATGCCAGGCCGTGGGACTTCCAAGCAGAAGAATGCACCTTGAGGGCCAACATTGAGGCTTTTAACAGCCGCCGGTATGACAGACCCCAGGACTCTGAGTTTTCACCTGTGGATAACTGCCTGCAGAGTGTGCTGGGGCAGAGGTTGGATCTGCCTGAGGATTTCCACTACTCATATGAGCTCTGGCTGGAGAGAGAGGTTTTTTCACAGCCCATCTGTTGGGAGGAGCTGCTCCAGAATCACTGACTGAGCTCTTGTCAACAAGCATCTGATAGATGGGGGTTGGCTCCAATAAATGGTGCTCTGCCTACCCTGCCCACTCAGCCTTTGTTTCCAGCTCTAGGAGTGCTTGTCCAGGGTAGCAGTGACCCAGCCTTAGGACATCCAGTGTAGTTCAGGACTATTATGGGAGCAGTTAGGCCTGGAGATAATACAAGGCTGGGAGCCTGAGTGATAAAAAATTGATCTAATTGCCCTGGGGTCATTTGGGTGCCCAGTTGCCCTTAAAATCTCCTGCTGGATCAGTTCTGGACAGGCTCTTTTGTGGGACTGCTCCCTGCTTTCGTCTTGCCTAGAACCAGGCTAGCCTTTGCTGGCCCCAAAAGAGAGAATAAGTTTACTATGGCATTTGACTCATGGCATTCATCATAGGTAATGGGAAGTGCAGGTCATAAAATAGGGAGAACATTTCCTTCTTGCTCACCCTGGATTACCAGAGGTTTGGCAAACCCAACTTTGAAATTAAGTCTGTATTTTAAATTTAAAATTCTGACACTCACCTCTTTCTAAAATCATTAGCTCTGAGATGATTTTTAGAGCAACTGCATCTTCTTTGTGAAGGATGATGATTTACTATTACCTAAATACTGCATGTTATAGAAAGGTATATTGTGTAGTGTTTTTTCTTTATTAAGAGATCTGTGTTCAGTGTGAAAAGTATTTCCTTGTGTACTCTGTATATGGCATGGAGTGCTCTGCCACAACCAGTACAAAACAGTCAGGCCTCCTCCAAGGATGTTTCATGTTTTTCTGAAACTATTTCGGTCTTAAAATGACTTGAGTACATTGCAGAAAATTATTCTTTTCATCCAATTCATTTTTAAATGACAAGTTATCTACAGGAGTTTTTATTTATTGAGATGGCATGTCCATTTGTGCTTGTGATCGATTTATTTTTTAATTGAATAGAACAGCAAGAGCATCACAGGTTACCATTTTTCTTTGTCTCCTATGTTGATTAATGATTTTTTTTCCCCCTTTTTACTGCTAGCAGTTTCAAAGTGTCATGTGGGTATTTAGCAATACTGTTTCTACCTAGAAGTATTACACATTTCTTTGAAAATATAAGGGTTGATGTACCAACCTCTTTAAACTTCTCCCTTTTACAGCAGAATCACAGTCTTCCCAACTGAAACATGGTTTTTAGAAAAGTTTCTGATTCAATCAGGATCATCTTATTTCTCTTCCGTCCTCAGAATTATGGTGTCTATACTTGCAAGCTTTGTTACTTTAAATGCCCCCACCCTGCAACATGGACACTACTGAATCTTTTTTATGATAGCACCAGGCCACTTTAATTGTGCCAGGACGTCTAGTCAAAATCAGCTTATTTACTCCATCCTTTGTCAACCACAGTCTCTTTTGAAGTCAGGATAGATTGCTAATGATTTCCAAAGGAACTATACCAAAATTCTGATTATAGCTTGAATTTCACCTCTTTGTGCTTTACGGGTAGCAGGATTTCTGTTTTTATGGTGAGGTTATGAAGAATATAAGTATGTAATGGATGAAACTTAAAATAGTCTGTAAATTCTGTCTGAATAGGACAGCAGTCCTCATTGCAATTAAAGTAATTTACTGAGTATATCATTATTGAACACTATTGAACCCTATTAACCTATGATTTTAATGTGATTTAAGTGAAAAGACAACTTTCAAGGAAAGAACAATTATCAGTCTATTTATTTTGAATAAATAGTATATAGTATTTAATTTAATCAAGAACAGATATGTTATCCTCTTAAAAATATGCACGTGGGCTTCCCTGGTGGTGCAGTGGTTGAGAGTCCGCCTGCTGATGCAGGGGACACAGGTTCGTGCCCTGGTCTGGGAAGATCCCACATGCTGTGGAGCGGCTGGGCCCGTGAGCCATGGCCGCTGAGCCTGTGCGTCCGGACCTGTGCTCCACAACGCAAGAGGCCACAACAGTGAGAGGCCCGCGTAACGCAAAAAAAAAAAAAAAAAAAATGCACGTGAATTCTTTCCAAGGCATAGATGTATGCTAAGCTTTAACATTTCATATTTTTTAATAAATCTTCTCTAAGGGAAAATCTCAGTGCAGATGGAAAAACTGAGGCACCAAGGATAAATGATTAGTTTCAAATTACATCATTTTTCTGCTGACTTTCTGGGACTAACATTCAGGTACTGATAGCCAGCCCCATATGTTACAGTAACTGATTTGAATCTCCCAATTTGAGAATACATGTGTGTGGTTAGGAATAAATCAGAGTAACCAACCTCCAATGGTTATTACTGTTACAACACAGAAGAACATTATTTGAGCGATTTATAAAGTAGAAGATTTTTATTTGTGAATATTTCAGTAAAGTTTGTGTTGATTGTTGATAACACTGTTTCTCTACTGAAGTACTTTAATAAACAGAATTGTACTGGAGTTAGAAATTTGGTCTTTAACTTCTTCAACACAAGAGAATCTTAAAGACATTAGATCTAGAAAGGAAGGGTATAATTAAAGAGACCAATATATAAAATCTTGCATTAGTATTCCCTGGGGCTAGACTGATATAAAAAACTGCAAAATCTCAGTGACTTCTGACAAACCTTTTTCTCTTGTTCTTGGTTCTGGCAAGCAGCTGCAGCTCTACTCAACTCAATTGACTTGCTAGATTAGCTCTGCTCTGTATGTTGTCTCATTCTGGCACTAGGCTGATGGAATAGCCCTTATCTGGGACATACTGTTCTCATAGTGAAGGGCAGGAGCAAAAGACCAAACCATACCACGAAAACACATTTAAAGCTCCTGCTTGGGGACTTCCCTGGTGGTCCAGTGGTTAAGAATCCATCTTGTAATGTAGGGGACTTGGGTTCGATCCCTGGTTGGGGAACTAAGATCCCACAATCTGCGGGTCAGCTAAGCTGGCGTGCTGCAACTACAGAGCCCACACACTCTGGAGCCCGTGCACCGCAACTAAGACCTGACGCAGCCAATAAATAAATATTTTTTTAAAAAAGAAGAAATTCCAACTGAACAAACACTACTCACAGAAGAATAAATAAATAAATAAAGCTCCTGCTTAGATGTGGCACAAGTTAAATTGCTCATAGTCCACTGGCAGAAAGCAGTTCACGTAGGTGAGCCTAACATTGGTCCAGAGAAGCATACTACCTATAGGGAGGCAAGTTGCAACCAGACATATGGGTAGGCAGTGAGTCAGAGCAGCTTCCCAGGGAGCTCTTGAGATTGGTGGTGGGACTATCTGAGAGATTCCTTTTTTTTTTTTTTTTTTTTTTGCCGCACTGCACAGCTTGCAGGATCTCAGTTCCCCCATCAGGAACTGAACCAGGCCAGGGCAGTGAAAGCCCAGAACCCTAACCATTATGCCACCAGGGAACTCCCTAGAGATTCTTCTTGAGAATATCAACAGCTTTCCAGTGAATATTTGAAAACACTCATTTCAGTACTTTATGCTGATACTTGCAGTGTGGCTTTCTTGACCTTTCTTGCCCATAGATCCCCAGCTCTTCCACCTAACAATTATTAATCATTGTTATATAAAGACAAGTGTTTTGATGGTTTCTGTTTTTCCCCCAAGTAGTGGTAAGTTAGAATTCATTCCTCTAGTCCTTCTTGAGATGACCCATATTTACAATAAAACTAGCTGAGATTAAGAATGCACCTGTGGGGAAATTCCCTGGCTGTCCAGTGGTTAGGACTCGGTGCTTTCACTGCCAGGGCCTGGGTTCAATCCCTGGTTGGGGAACTAGGACACCACAAGCTGTGCAGCACTGGCCCCCCCAAAAAAAGTTCACCTGTGCTTTTGGAACAAAAATGACACTTGTTCATACAACAATCAAACTCACGACTTTGATCTCATTGGATGCTATAATTGATGAGCTCTGTAACCACCTAAATATCCTTAACTTTTTTTTCTAATTATTTTTTTTGGCTGCATAGGGTCTTCATTGCGCGTGGGCTTTCTCTAGTTGCGGTGAGCGGGGGCTACTCTTCATTGCGGTGCAAGGGCTTCTCACTGCTGTGGCCTCTCCCGTTGCGGAGTACGGGCTCTAGGACTGTGGGCTTCGGTAGTTGTGGTGCGTGGGCTCAGTAGTTGTGGCTCGTGGGCTGCAGAGTGCAGGCTCAGCGGCTGTGGCACGTGAGCTCAGTTGCTCCACGGCATGTGGGGTCTTCCCGGACCAGGGCTCGAACCTGTGTCCCCTGCATTGGCAGGCGGATTCCCAACCACTGCGCCACCAGGGAAGCAATCTAAGTATCTTTATCTTTTGCCATGTTCACAGGTTTCAGGGATGAGGACATGGACATACCTTTTGGAGGGCCACCATTCAACCCACTAAAACTCATCAGACACTAACAAATAGCAATATTGATTCATTTACTCTTATCAGTATTAGAGGTTTAAGGCAAGACCCAGGGAAGTTATTTTTATCTAGAAAATACTTACAGCTATTGATGTAGTCAAAGAAGATTCAAGTAAAGAAAGAGTTTTAGGCTTGGGTAGAGGATATGACATGAGGGAACATGTGTAAAACTGAAGAATACATTTATGTATTGGTATTTTTGTTAAGATACATGCAAAAATTCAAATGATTTTCAAAGTACACAAAGAAAAATGTAATCTCCCAACCCAGATCTCTTGTCTCATTCCCCAGAAGTAATCACTGCCAATATTTTTTTCTATTTTTTATTCTTTCAGAAAATCCCCATGATAATACCCATCTCCTCCTCATCGACATTTTTTTTTAACAATTAGAAGCACAATGTACTGTTCTATTCTTGCTCTTATCATATATCCTGGAGATCTATTTTTCTATATCAGTATTCTCTTATATGACTATAAATTTAATATATCAAATAATTAAATCAGATAATTCTTCCCTAACACTGCTTTCAGACATTTTCTAGCTAGGAAGAAATGTTATACGAAAGGGTATATAGATGGGAAGAATAGAGGGTGTGTGTGTGCGTCTGCATGTGTGTATGTTGT